GTTTCAACTGACAGAAACGCATAAAGAGGTAGGTACGTGGGGGGGGGGTGGCACCTTTTATTTATAGGGCTGGCCTGACAGAACTGTCTAATACTACTGGACTTATAAACGTTATTGTTTTTTGTTTATTGGCTATCGTTTTGCAAAGGAAGCAACAAATAGGACCACTCTTGTACAAATTCTGCCAGCGGGGTTATTACCCAAGCCCAACTGAGGTAACCATCAGAATCCCCACTAAAGCTGCCCAGGAGACCTAGCTTCCTTGTATGCCGTCAGTTTAGCTTAGAATACATGTGCTTGGAAATGTTTAGGGGGTTTAGGGTTTAGTAACGGTTAGCTTCATCAATCAGATTCACGCCAAAACCGCCACTATTGCAAGTGTCTAGGGTGCTTTGGGCGATGCAGGTTGGTTTGAGTCTCGACAGTAGGCCAACTACCCCATGCACATCACTTCTGAAGCCATGTTGTAGTATAAAGCCTACAGAAGTTCCTTGGAACCACAATATAGCGATAATAGTTTGCAAAACCCCAGAGCATGATTCAAACTCCCTCTTGGAGACATTTACTTTACTGCCCACCCAAATGTTGTAAGCCGTCGTAGAAGAAGGCATAAGCCGTAAGCCTGAGGCCACACCATCTAACAGCAATGCTCCAGTATTCAGTACGAAGCAAAAAGCTAATTTGCTCAGACTTCCTCTTCAACCCTAAAAACCTGTAAACCCGAATCCCTAAAACCTGAAAGCCTTAACCCTTAAACCGAATCTGTACCACAATTGGGTTCCAACAACCTCGAGTTGATTATGATTGCGGAGTTCGGGTTCATGCCCAGCCACAGAAGAATCTTGGACATCTTGCCATCCCTTTGAGCACTCAATTCTTGGGTGGTTTCGAACTATGTGGAAGTTGGGGTTTGGGGAACTTCGTCCCAAAAATCGCAGAACGCTAAACCCTAGATATAACCTGTGAAGGGCCGCCTGTCACGGCGCTTTGTGCCCTCTGAGACGAGAACGGCCAGAACGGGCCATAAGGCCACGTACAGAAGCCTCTGGCTGAGTCTTGGTGTCTTATGAGTTGAGGTACCTTTTCCATAAGCTTCCACAACTCCACTTTGCTAGTTTTTAATGCTCCGAGATGAGAGGGCATGCACGCGAGGGGCCCATCACTATTGTTGGCAGGTTCTTGTTCAAGATGGCCTTCTACACCGCTTTATCTACCCATGCGTGGGCAAAGCAGATCCTGAAAAGTTCCGATGAGGGGCTGACACAAGGATGCCCCTCCACAATTAAGCACACATACCATAAGCCAGAGTCCCAAATTTCCATTCAGTTTTTAAGGGTGGCAATGCTGAAGTTCACTCCTGGGCGCTGGTCTGAAGGCCACAAGTCAGCATCTCGCTGCAAAAGGACAACCCAAGTGAGGTAGCTAGGCATTCCCAACTTATGCTCTTTCTTTGGATGCCCTAAACCCTAAACCCTATAAACCCTTTACCTCAGAAACTTGAAGTTCCTTGAAGTTTGGCTTCCTCCGAATTACGGGACAAACGGTCTCAAACCAAGTCTGGCGCCACTGCTGGACCGAGGGGACCAAGGTTTCTGGTCTGTCTTCCTTGCACCTTGCAGCAGATATCCTGTGGTTTCAGGTTTATGCAAAATGTTCACGGGAGCAACTGCCTGTATGGGGCCCATGACCGTGATTAGAGTCTACAATTCTGAGCAAACTTGTAATGTACTCACCCCCCCCTCCCCACCAACACGCGGCTAGCTAAAAGCCTACACGAAAGCTTGCACTAAAACAACTCAGTGATCTGTCTTCATCAAAGGGAGCCCTCAGACAGTGTCACTTCCTATAGGGGGCCCTGATAGTTCCTTGTTGACGAATGACTACTGTATTCCTCCATTTGCCCATCAACAACGGTATAACCACACATAAGCACATGTAAGGGCCCACCTAATTACCCATCACATTTTGCAGTCCATTCGGGTATCCCACGCTCTATCTAGGTACATCATGCTACAGGGAAATATCACTATAAACACTTTCTTATAATCCGTTTCCATGTTCTTTTCCATATATTTCTCCACTCTTACAATATCCTCGGGAACGGTCTATGGTGGCCGAGGCCCACAAACTTCATCTGTAACCAATCCCTAGACCCTAATCCATACAAACCGTAAACCCCAAACACTAACCCCTGATCCCTAAATTAGCGCTAGAGACCCTCATCCCTATAAACCTTAGACCCTTAACACTAAACCCTTAACCCTAAACTCTAGCCCCTAAACCCTAAACTCCAAATAGTAGTTTCCATTTCCTTTTCCATTTTCCCAATATAACCCCTTTATAATCCCTATATAACCCTTAGTAGTTTGCATTTTCTTTTCCATTATCCCAAAATAACACCAATATACACCCTAAACCCTAAACCTTAAACCCCAAACCCTAAACCCTAAACCCTGAACCCTAAACCAATGTAACCCCAATTTGGAGCCCTTCCCACCTGGAGAAGACAATGCTGCAGCTCACAGCCAGGTGTAGAAGCAATGTGACAAGTGCCACGCTGTTCAGCACCTCACAGTTCAGGGTTTAGGGCTTAGGGGTTTATATTGGTGGAATTAGGGTTTAGGGTTTAGGGCTTAGGGGTTTATATTGGTGGGATTAGGGTTTAGGGTTTAGGGCTTAGGGGTTTGGATTTTGGGGGTTCAGGGCTTGGGGTGCAGGGTTTCGGCAAGGTCTAGGGATTTTAGGGTTTAGTTTAGAGTTGGTATTGCCAGTTTAGGGTTTTGGGCTGAGGATTCAGCACCTGCAGGCTACAGTAGGACTGGTCCACATTGGGATCCCCTGGAAAATTGTAGCTTCCTACACCTAATGTCTATTTTTTAATAGAATATCCTATTATGTAGCTTCATATTCCCCGTCGCATCTTAAAGGAATAGAAGCTTACACATATGATCAACTTCGACCTAGAGGACTTGCAGCTGCCTCAAAAAGCTAAGAGGCTCAAGATGTAGATTTCACTTTGGTAGGACGTGCTTGGCATGGATGAACATGATGAACGTAGCTGCACAATGGAAATGCGAGCTAGCTTTAAATGTGGGCTTAGTCCAATCCTTGTTCAAAAAAATCTCCGCAACGCGTGACCCGGCAACCATGCCCGCCAATATATCATGAATGCTATAATCTCAGTTTCAATGTCATTTTCCATTGTCTTTTTCATTTGATTCTCCATATCTCTGGAAACCTCCGAAACATGTGTTTTGATGGTTATTGTCATGTTGCGTTTCCTTGAGGGCCAGCTAAGGCAACTTGGCCAACAAAAGAGAAGCACAGCGTCATAGATTTCCCATAGGGCGTAGGATCCAGGCATGTCGGTATTGCTATGCACCCTATTTCTGGCAGATGTCGCCTACCGCTAAGCTTAAAATAGTACCATCTCCTGCTTCTGATTACCACGTCTGCCATGCCATCCGAGAGCCCCTTATGGCTGCGAAAAGACTCTGAACTGTGTTGCAGGAATGGCTGTTCTTGCGTTCTTGTACGCAGGGTTTTTCTTCAGGCAGGCCTGTGGGAAACATGTTGAGCAGTAGAGTGCTGCATGCCCGAAAATCTGAAGGCTAACTGAACTCTCAATACACCGAACACTAGTGTAGCTACCTGACACTGAATTCCCACATGACGGCCTCCACAAAGTGCAAGTCTCCCACGGCATGCCAAAAAGGCCATGGAAAACTAAACTCAAACCCATGTGATAGTTTCCCAAAATAGGGGGACCCCAATATAGACCTATAATCCTTATTATAGGGACTCCCAAAAAGGTACCCCTAACTTTGGGAACTATCCATGTCAGCCCCTTAGGAAGGTTCCCCATGCTAAAAGGTTTCGGCCTGGCCTTGTTTGAGGAAGGCCCTCGTGTTACCAGGGAGTCGTACCGATCCAGGAAGGTAAAGGCCAAAGTCACCTGGGGGTTTCCCAAAATTAGGGGTACCATTTTGGGGGTCCCTATATTAAGGACTATAGTATTTTGGGGTCTACATTGGGGTCCCCTTATTTTGGGAAACTACCACCTGCTGGGCTCTGGGCTTCAGGAGCTGGTCAGTTTACTTTGGTGAAGCTGGGTTGATGTTAAGGAACTGAATTTCAGTTACCATAATGGGTATATATATATATAGAGGGATTAATAGGGCTTCCCCGATAGAGTATCTTAACTTGAGTTCCCTAACAGCAACCCAGTAAAGGACTTGGGGTCCACATCCTAACGCCTAAAACCCAAAGCGTGAAGACGTTTAAGCTTTGCATTGTGTTGTCAGGCAGCTACTTTATGAATGATGATGGCTGCCGGTCGGTGATTCTTACTCCCTGAGGTTTCTCTATTGGCGCTGGCGCTGCTCGGGGATGCAAAGCAATGCCATCTGCATGAACAGGAGCAAACATGGTACTTTACCACCATAAGGGGGCGCCGATGTAGACCCCAAAATACTATAGTCCATGTTATAGGGACCCCTGAAATGGTTCCCCTAATTTCAGGAAACATCCGTACGGTTGCCTCCCGATAGCTTATCAATACTTCTTTACCTTGGTGTGCGCAGAGATACACGCTCTTCCATCAAATGAACTATATTCTAGACTCCTTAAAGAGGGTTTTGTAAGGGGTTATATAGGGAAGTATTGTAGGCTTTACTCAGGGGATACTAGGGCTGCAGCTTGAACGGGAAGTCGGAGTGTCTGCGATGGGCGAAGTTGGCTAGATCAGTTAAGGTCCTGCTGATCCAGTCTCGGGATACCTTGCAGCCAATCTTCATGCACGACTGTCTGGAAGATTACTGATTACCTAGAAACTTGCTCGACTTGTTCAGCGTGTGCCCCGCTCATATGAGCCATAGTCTAAACTCCAAGTATCCCCCTTAGTAGACCCTTCAATTAATCGAACCCTTATATAATCCACTATATAACCCCTTTAAGGAGTTTAGACTATGGTTCACATAGGCTGCATGGGCAAGCCACTCAAAGGCCAGGTTGCCCAGTATCAGCCCCAGGGTCCCCGCAAAGGGGACTCTACTGGGTTGCTGTTAAGGTACTTATACTGAGTTACTGTAAGAAGGAAGCCCTATTATCTGCTATATACCTATCATTGGTAGCTTACTGTAAGATCCTCAGTAGCACCCTAAACCCTAAACCCTAAGATTCCCAGCCATGACTGCCTCATAAAGGACGAACAGCCAAGCGGACCATTGCTGTGCGTGGGAGAGGGTACAGCTGCCCTGCCACGCATGCGGTGGCTTAGGGTCTAGGGTCTAGGGTTGGGTCCTGCCCTCACCCGTTCACAGTCCATAATAGGGGCCACAGTAAGAGCTCTATATAGATACATTATACATATTATCTATCCAACAGTCAATGAGTGGGGCAGTACCCCCCAATGTAGTTGGTTCATGAAACCTCTCACCAAGCTGCTGATTTACCTGGCTCAAGACAGGCACCTTTAATCAAATGAATACGGCCATATGGACCCCAAAGGTGCCGGGTGCTACAGGGGCCATGTTGAGGTCCATTTGAGGCACCATATTATATAACTTATACAAGGAATATGCAACCATGATATTGGCAATTAATTAGGCCCCTATATTATTCAGATACAAAGTTCAGAAAAGTGACGAGCCCACCACCAGCATCACAAGGAAACTTCAAGCAGACTCAGAGTATTGCTTTGGGAAAATGAACAGCTGTGAACACTGTGGTACCCCCAGCCGCTTGGGTCATCCTGTCCAGATCATGTAGGAGACTGAATGATTAGAAATTAGGCGTAGATTAGCTAGAACTAGTTGTCAGGGGTTGTAACCCTAAACCCTAAACCAGGGGTTATAGTGTGTATAGTCGTAGAAGCGTGGCAATTTTTCAGGATTCTACAGAAAGCGTCTTGCAGCTTGCTGGCAGCTCTTCGTGCTGAGGATGCTTGGGAATGCACCCCCTTTCAGGGTTTAGGGTTTAGGATTTAGGGGTTTAGGATTTCGGTGTTTAGGGTTTAGCCCCCCCAATAATGAACCCTCCCCCGGGTACAGAATGGTACTAGTTGGAGAGGGGGGGGGGGTTCTTATGAGGGGAAGGGAGATTTTAATGTTAGAATAGTGGATTCCATTTTCTTTCCCATTGTCCCTGTATAATCCCAATATTATACCCCTATTTTCCTTTCATGATTCCCTTCGAGCCCCGGTATTTTGACTGCTGGAGCTTAGTGCCCTGGCTTGAAGGGCCCTCGAGCGATCCAGCGCATTACCTTGGTCCACCTTAGGTGGATCCGTCACCCTGTCATAGTGGCTACAAGGGATAGTAGGGATTGTACTAGGGTCCTCTTATATTCCTATTATACCACTATTACTGGGTGGGGGGTCCACCTAAGGTCTACCTAGTTGTAGGGTCCAAGCATCATGGAAATCGAAGCTCAAGTACGGACTCGGCATGCAAACCTCACCTCCAACGCCCAGCTACTCAAAGTAGTGGGCGATTCTCCATGAACGCAGCTAATTATTACTAAAACTGAGCCATCAAAACCGTCACAGACTTTCGTATGCTGCTGTTCGCGCAAATCTACCCCCGCTGTTACACCGATCAAGCCCTCCAGTCCTTTCTCCTTCCATCAACATGCAATATTGCGAAAGCAACCTTGACAAATCTTCGGCCTGACCTGTGCATGCATATCTTCTGAATTACATCCAGCATCAGCTTCATCAGCCTGTAGACAAACTCCCTGCACATCCCGCATCTTCCGTGCATACGCACAAACACAACCCTGCCGGTGATGCGTGCTCCCACGACCACGGTGAATCAAAAGGCACTTCGCCGGGAAAAGCGGCCTGTTCACCCATGTTCAGGTTGTGCCATTTACAACTCTACAGGTTTCGGAAAGGATGTTGCCCCAGTTTGCATTGGGCAGCTTATGCTGAAACTTAGGCCACCCAAGCAGGGTTGCATCATGGCCCAGTGAACGGCTGAAACCCGGCATGCTGTGCTCGAGGGTTTCAGGTTCACAAAAGTTTGCTTGGACTTGGAGGTTTGGGATGTGTAAGTCTAGCATTCAGAGAAGATATCACCCCGTTCACTGACGTTGTGAGGTAGCTATCGGTTTGAGGACAGGTCTCAATATCAGAGCCCGATGCAGGTGCAACGGGGCACTGAGGATTTCATGCCGAAAGCATGTTGGGAACCATCAGGCTTGGGATATGAAGTGCCTGCACAGGAAAAACAACGTTTTCACAGTGTAAAAAGCTCGGAGCACCTTCCCTCACCATAGCCACGGACTGAAGAAACATGCGGGGATCCGGCTTGTATCCAACACAGCTTCTGCTCGCATCCGCCCCAGTACGATAGCCACTTTTCGGAAGACTCTATGTTCCGAACCCCTCAACCCGAATCCTATATAGCGCTGTATAAGCTCTTTCTGTCCCCCTATATAAGCCTATATAAGCCCTTTAACTATATAATCCCCAATATGGCCCTATGCAAACTTTTTATACCCTAAACCCCAAGCCATTATAAGATCCCTTCTATAACCAATCCCGAAGTGGATCCAAAGCACTGCTCAGGAATCTCTGGCCCCAAGAGTTGCCTCATGCACGGCTTTCGCGCAGCGTGGCCAGCGGCCCGTTAGCCACCAGGTCCAAGAAAACCTACTTTCGCTCTTAGGGTTTGGGGGTTCAAGGTTCAGAGGCTCGAGGTTTAGGGTTTTAAGGGTTTAGGGGGTGAGGGGTTTAGGTTTTTGCGGCTTAGGGTTCAGGTGTAGGCATTCTGGCTTAGGGGGAATCCGATGTGGGGCTTCTCAACCTTAAAATGGGCCAATCAGTTGATTCTCATAACTTTGAGACACGCGAGGCTGCCAAGGGAAGTTTGGTTGGGGAATCCTGCAAAAAGATCTTCAGAATACTGCATTCCTGCCGAGTAATGACTATAATTTGCAGAGATGCTCCCAGAAGGAGTGCATAGGCAGCATGTAACAATTGTGCTGGGATTATGCTGCCCCTAAACCCTAAACCCTTGACCCGATTTATGCGTGTCCCAACCGCCATGTGCAATGTGCTGGCATTTGCCAAGCCTTCCGTACCTCTGGCAAATGTAGACGTTCGGCTTTACGGTTTATAGCTTAGAGTTTAGTGTTGGTTACCCAGGGTTTAGGGCTAATATTGGGGGTATATAGGGGTTATATTTGGGTTATATTGGGGATATATTGGGATAACGGAAAATAAAATGGAAAATACTATTTAGGGTTGAGTGCAACCCACATTGGGGTATATTGCGCTCTTGGAAGCGGGCTTTGCTCCTTGCTGCTGTCTGGGCCACGACTCTTGGACCCGGTGCCCTTGAGCAAGCAGCAAGGTAAGGAACATCCAAGACCAGTCTAGCTTGGCTCCAAGTACGCCTTGCCGGTACATAGGGCCATATGAAGGTTTCTCAAAGTTAGGTACCTTTTTGAGGTCCCCATAAGAAGGATAATGGCATTTTGCTATCTATATTGGCAATTATATTGGGGTCGCCCTATTTCTGGAAACGACCATATAGAGACATATTTTGATTCCATTCAGAATGGAAAAAGACCACGGAAAATGAAATGGAAACTGGTAAGGTTCAAGCGAGTTTGGCGAGAGCCAAAGCCGGTACCAAGACAAGCTTGGCTTACTGGGAGCTCATGTAGACCCCTGATTTAGGGATTATGATGGGGATCCTAATATTGAGGCCCTTAAAAGGAGGGGTTTATTAATCATGGGTCTACAGTAGTAGGGAATAAAGGAACGCAGTGTATAGGGATTACTGTAGGGATTCTATTTCCTCATGCCCTGCGACCCACCAGTAAGTTGGGCACTGAAACCAAGCCCCAGGCCCCTTGCACAGCTCTGCAAGCGTGTCCGACCTGAGAGTTGGCTTTGACTGGGTTGCTGTTAAGGAACTTAAATTAAGTTACCATAATGGGTATAT